GAGGATGTGGAGAAACGGGAACCCTCTTGCACTGTTGGTGGGAATGCAAATTGGTGCAGCCACTCTGGAAAGCAGTGTGGAGGTTCCTCAAAAAATTAAAAATAGACCTACCCTATGACCCAGCAATAGCACTGCTAGGAATTTATCCAAGGGACACAGGAGTACTGATGCATAGGGGCACTTGTACCCCAATGTTCATAGCAGCACTCTCAACAATAGCCAAATTATGGAAAGAGCCTAAATGTCCATCAACTGATGAATGGATAAAGAAATTGTGGTTTATATACACTATGGAATACTACGTGGCAATGAGAAAAAATGAAATATGGCCTTTTGTAGCAACGTGGATGGAACTGGAGAGTGTGATGCTAAGTGAAATAAGCCATACAGAGAAAGACAGATACCATATGGTTTCACTCTTATGTGGATCCTGAGAAACTTAACAGGAACCCATGGGGGAGGGGAAGGAAAAAAAAAAAAAGAGGTTAGAGTGGGAGAGAGCCAAAGCATAAGAGACTGTTGAGAACTGAGAGCAAACTGAGGGTTGATGGGGGGTGGGAGGGAGGAGAGGGTGGGTGATGGGTATTGAGGAGGGCACCTTTTGGGATGAGCACTGGGTGTTGTATGGAAACCAATTTGACAATAAATTTCATATATTAAAAAAAAAAAAAGAGTCCAACTTCAGCTCAGGTCATGATCTCTTGGTTTGTGAATCTGAGTCCCACATCGGGCTCTGTGCTGACAGCTCAGAGCCTGGAGCCTGGTTTGGATTCTGTGTCTCTCTCTCTGCTGCTCCCCCCACTTATGCTCTTTCTCTGTCTCTGTCTCTGTCTCTGTCTCTGTCTCTCAACAATGAATAAAAAATTTTTAAAAAATTAAAAAACAAGACAAACAAAAAACATAAACAGAAGCAGAGTCATAAATACAGAGAACAAGGTAGTGATTGCCAGAGGGGAAGAGTGTCAGGGGTGGTGATAGGTGAAAAAGTTGATGGGGATAAAGAGGTACAAACTTTCATTCTTGGTTTTTGAACCAAAAGACCCACCTTTCTCCCAAACTGAGTAAAAGAATGAAATAACAAACCCAGTCACACCAAGGAATAAATGACTGACAAGTGATTTAATTCTCAGATGTGTTTCTGACATCGTAAGGATCTTTTAGTATGCCAATCACATTCTTGGCTAGCATAGATCTGTGTTTGAGGCCACAAACCTGTCTGAGCAGTTATATTTTCAGGTACCTGCAATTGTTAAGCCAGGAGATGAAGAAGTTAACTGGTCCCAGACCTGCTGGTTAATGTGACTGATTATGGCCCTGTCTTTGGGCTTCACAGTGGCCACACTTTTACCTGAAGAATGCCATCCCTGGGGCACCTGGGTGGCTCAGTCGGTTAAGCATCTGACTTCGACTCAGGTCATGATCTCACAGTTCGAGCCCCACGTCAGGCTCTGTGCTGACAGCTCAGAGTCTGGAGCCCACTTCGGATTCTGTGTCTCCCTCTCTCTGACCCTCCCCCCGTTCATGCTCTTTCTCTATCTCAAAAATAAATAAAAATTAAAAAAAAGTAAAAAAAAAAAAGAATGCCATCCCCTTTTCTGGGATGTGAATTTTCAAGCTATGTCTTTCTCCCCTTTTGTTTCTCTTAAGGCAAATGCCTGCCCTTAGTATGGTAGAAAAAGTTTTCATAGGTGGGACTTTCTAAAGCTTAGAATGGTTGCATGTAGAATAATCTCTTCTAAGTCCTGCATTGGTGCCTGCCATACCCCCATTAAAGTTGCCCACTGGGCAGTTATTTTAGCTTCAGAAGACACTACCAGGGGTACATATGTCACTCAGGAGGCATAAATACTGATCTGTTCACAACTATTATCTATTCATGCTCATCTTAGGTGCTCACATCAGTTGGCAAAGCTGAGGGAAGAATATTCATCATAATTTCTAATGTTTAGGGGGTATCACTTAGTTTACACACATTTTCTTAGACATTATTTTAGCTGATCTTCACAATAACCCAGGAGATAAGCAAATACAGTTTCTCCTTGCTTATGAGAAACCTAATCCTTAAAAGAGTAATAAAGTCAGTATGTGGGAGCCAGGTTTGGCACCTGGGTCTCCTGACTCAGTATGCCCTTTACACACATGTCACGTACAGCCAAGTGTATATGGATGTGGATGTGGAAAGACATAGAAAGGAGTAAAGGAGTCTGTGGGGGAAGAGAAAAAGACCAGATGGGGCACTGAAGAAGAGGTGGGGGTAGGAAGGAGGAATCCTGGGTGCTGAATCTGCAGGTGGTAGGAGGGCAGAGGGGCAAGGGGGAGCTATTCAGAGATGAGGGAAGGAGTAGTGACCAACATTAGAAGCCTCAGTCACTGAGAGAATTTGGGGAAAACATGCATATTTGGGCTTGAAAGAATGTGGTGTAGGACACAGTATACTGGACTGGGTATAAGAGAGCTCAGGCTGGCCTGGTTGTGCCATGAACAAGCCTGGGCACATGACTAACCCCTCTGGCCTCGGTTTCTTCAGGTATAAAACAAAGGACTTCACTCAGATCATCTCTAAGTTCCTGGGAGGTCACAATATCTGTGACCTTGGTGCAGGTACATACATGACATGAGCATGAAGGAGCGGGTGCTGAGAGTGGCGTAGGGCTAACACGGGCCTCAAGCAGATCTTCCCAGTTACTCATCTCATGGTTTGTGTTCAGCCAGACTGGACAGGACTAACCTCTGTTCTGTGGGATCTAGGGACAAGATCCCAGTGACAGTACTTGAATGATATTGGCAATAGCAAGTGATACTTTCACCGAATGGGGATTCAATTTAAACCATTTTCTCAAAGTGAAGTGTCTTTATTGCCTTATTCCAGATGCTTCAAGGAATAGGGCAAGGGTAAAAGGAATTCTGAGAATATGAGCTAGGAGTGGTCCCAAAGCCCCGGAGAATTTGTCTTTCTGGGCTGTGGTGTGGGGCAGAGACATTTCAACATTCATGCAGCCTTCCATCAGCCACCTTTGACCAACACTAAAAGCCCGTTACCAAGAAGGGAGTGAGAATAATTTCTCTCCTATTAGTACTTCCTCCTTCCCAAATGTGGTGCTAGCCACTGGGAGTTGTAATTGCAGATATCACCAAGGACTATGGATATAAATTTCACAAAGGGCAAGACCTTCCATTATGAGTGGGAAGATGGCTTTAATTAAAAAAAAAAATCAATATATTGTTTCCAATCATTAGAATCCCATGTCTGTAGGAAAAATCAATCTTTTTCATATTAAAATGCTTACATTCACACTCAGATGTTATATTACACGAGTCATTGAAGGAGGTCAGGAGGCGGTCTGCCTGAGGCCCAGAATGAGTCCCAGCCATGTCCATACTAAAATCATAGGTGTTTGTGAGAGTCTGTCTTCAGGAAACCTGTGAGCTAAGAAATTCTACACAATACCTCCTCTTAACACATTCTCTCCTCATTCTTCCAAATCCTCAAATGAAAGTAAAAATAAAAGGAAAAGCTAAAATCGCATCTTAAAGAGTGGGAGCATCTCCATTTTTCAGTCATTTCTCTCACTCCTCCTCCTCCATGTTGGCAGATTTTTACCACAGGGTTCAACCAACAGGCACCAGGGATTCTAATGTTAACAAAGGGCTCCATTTTTAAAAGATAATTTATCTATTCATGCAAGAAAATGCTTTTGATTTTAATCAGCGGCAAGGGTTTGGTTCTCTCCTCTCGTTTCCTGAGAAGTAGGAGCAAATGGAGACAGGGCGGATCTCCTGGAGAACGTCACATATTACTGAAATAGACTCTTGACAGCATTAAATTCCCAGAGGTGCTATTTCATTCCCCACACAACATAATAGTAATGATCTTATGGAGAAATTTTGCCTTTATGGAAACTGTTTATTTCTAAGAACATTCTAATGTCAGGCTAAGTGTGAAGCTTCCCTAGTAAAGAAGTAAAGGAAAACAAGGGTCCTAATTAAAAACATTGTTTAAGAAGACACTTGTGAGAGAAAAGAAAATCCCACTTTACATGGAAAACTTAATCATGTATATTGCTAGAACGTATTGCAGAGTATTCACACCAATTTCCCAGACCCCGTTCCTTGTTACTATTTATACTCTTCAAGCCCAATCCTTCTGGGCCCAGTTTCCCTCCTGTCCAGTTCAGCAGTTACTCCCTTTGAAGTCAGTGTGAAACTGATGCCCAAAAGGGAGATATATGCCCCAGGGATATCTAATTTACTGGTTTCTTTTTCTCATTTCACTGGGTTTGGAAAATGATGGAACAGTCTTGCTGTCTGTCAAGTGCTGCCCAGTTTGATTTCCTATCTGTGGAAACAGAGCAGACGTGCCTGCATGCTACCTAGGCACTCACTAGTGAGGGCAATGAAAATGTTTTTATTAGCATTCTAGGAAATCAAGGGGCTGGTTTCAAAAGCTCATATATTTGCCACTTTTTGAATTTTTTCCTGCCTAAGGGAACTGGAGTCTACCCAAATTATCCATTGCTGACGACAGGAGCATGGACTCAGCCTGGTTGGATTCGAATAAAAGCATAGTTCCATTCCTTGACTTTGGGAAGTGACTCTACTTCCCTCTGCCTCATTCTACAACTTGGGGACAATCCTAGTACCTATCTGGGAAGGGTATTTATTTATTTATTAAGTCAGCAGATTCATACAAAAAGCCTTTATCAGATAGATACTATCATTTTCCCCATGTTACAAAAGGGGAAAATGAGGTTCAGAGAGGTAACTCAGTTGCCTAACACAAAGGGTTTTGTGTTAATTCCATGGCTCATAGTACAGTGCCATATACAGAAGAAGAGTATAATGCATGTTAACTATTATCATAATTGTTTTAGATCATCCCAGTGATATTTTCAAATAGCGAACAGAAAGGTGTCTACCAAAAAAGAATGCTGGGAAGTCCCAACAACTAGGGGGCAAAGAGAAGAAGAGAGAAGAAAGTGATCAGTAATAAGGACACAAACACCAGCATTTATGGTTTAATGTGCACCAGGCACTATTCTAAGTGCTTCACATGTTTTAAGCCATTTCATCTCCATTAGACTTTGAGGTAGGGAAGCATCTTATCCACCACTTATAGAGGAGAAGACTGAGACAGAGAGGTTTGGGAAATTTCCCGAGGTCACACTGCTGGTTGGTGGCACAGACCTCCTGGTCTGGTTCTGGAGCCCATCTCCTTAAGCATCACACTCAGCCACTGTCTAAAGGGGATTGATAGGTAGAGCTAAAATGTTAGCAGAACAAGAGACACCATCATGAGACTCAGGAGGGCCTGAGTTGTTGGTAGTGTTAAATTACCTTATACAGGTCCTGGTCCTGGTGGGAAAGAGATGACATGCCTGAAATCGGGAAATTTGAGGAAAGTTTAATAAAGACACTATTTACAAAGGTATGGGCAAGTATAGAGAACCCAAAGTACTAATGGAATACTCACTGGCAGGTAAGAGCAGAGAGTAGGGTCAGTACCTCTAAGGTCTAGATAGCTGAGCAGAGAGAGTGGATCCTGGGACTCTGAGAAAAATAGAGAGGGCGGGAGGGAGGGAGAAAGAGAGAGAGAGAGAATGAACAAGAGAGCACTGCTATTTGGAGAAGATACCCTAAGAAGAGCTGCAGCAGCCCACTGCAGGCCTGTCCCTTAGAAAGAAGTGGGATATATACACCCAGCTGTGACTCTTCTATCATTTTCTGGGGCTTTCCACTGGTCAAACCCAACTAGCAGCCAAAGTACAAGGGAACCCATTGAAACAACTGGTAGAGTTCAGCTTCCCAGCATACAGAGTAGGGTGCGTTAGCAGGAGAGGAGATTTAGAGGAGTGCACAGATGATAGCCAGCAGTGACTCAGAAAAGTTATGCAAAATAGAGGCCAAAAGTTTATTAATGGGTTTAGCAATTCAAACACTACTGGTTATTTTGTTAGAACATTTTTCAGTGGAGACATGGGGTGTGCAAGAAACCCAAGGGCAGTGAGTTGAATAGTAAATGGAAAGTAACACAGTGCAGGCAGTAAACAGAGACTATTTTCAAGGCTGGTGGCTGTGCAGGGAAAGAGAGAGAGATTGGGGGAGGAGTAAAGGGGAGCAAGGGGAGTAATGGAGGGAGAGAGAAGTGACAGTTGGAATACAGATGATGGAGCAAGGTCCTCGGGAAGCTGAAGGAGTTGCTAGTGAAGTGGCAAGGAAGAAGAGAAAGAGAAAAGGATTTATATGGATGCAGATAAATGTGTTCTCTCGGGGTACAGGAAATAGATGTTGTCATTAATTATTTCCCTATATGAGACTGGAAGTGAAGTCATCTTCTGAGATTGGCGGGGAAGGCATTATGGAAAGTATAAGAGTGGAGGGTAGTGCTTGCAGGATCCTTACAAGAAACGGGAGAAGGAATTAATCACAATCAAACAGAAGGATTACCTGGCTCAGGTAGGAGAAGATAGAATTGCAGAAACATGGATTTGCTGCTGTCTTTTTCCTCCAGGCAATCTCATAGGCCTGGATGTAGGACAGGAGAAGGCAGAAAGTTGGCTTGCCAACTTCTCAGTCTGGAAAAACAGAATAAGGACAAACGTATCGAGGGTGTTGGTGAGAAGTAGCATGAAGCATAGATACTGGATTCTAGACTGAATAGGGAAGGAAAAGGCCAGGGGCTGATTAGAGAAAACAGCTACAGTGACCTGGAAAGCTTGTGGGATGGAAGTGTGCATTTGACCAGCATATGGTTGGGAGGGAGAGAGGTGGAAGGACAGAAGGTCATGATCAGAAAGCGGGATGAGAGGATTTGTAATTTGAAGTGATGATAACTTCTTAGGTATGGCCGTGAGTTAATCATCACGTTTATTTTACTCTGTTTTCCATGGCTTAGCAATGCTTATAAATGAAGATTGTGTGAAAAATGTCAGCCAGCTCAAGAGTGAGGAAGGCATAGCATGATCTTCTCCAGGCACTGGGCCCGCACTGCTTAGAGATGCCCCAACTGGGAGCATGGAGGATATCACTGTGGCTGAGAGCGGCGGTCACCGCTGGCAGCAGAGGGACAGCTAGACAAGGGGCAGACAGAATAGTGGGGGAGCATAGACGCACTGCGAGCAAGCGTTTGGGAGACATTGGCTCAGCTGGAACACCTTTAAGACGATGGCATTTCGGCCAGAGGCTGTGCACTTAGGGCAACCCACGGAACGTGCCCGCGGAGAAGGCGACACTGCACCACAAGTTCCAGAAAAGCAGAGGCTGCAGAGGGTCAGGCAAAGCAAGAACCGGCCCTGGCGCAACGCCCTGCGTGCATGTGCGTGGGCTGCTGACCCCCGGCAGGATGATTGCACTTGGAAGCCGGGCCTGAGTGTTCTCGGAAGCTGTGTAACAAATTCAATCTGGATTTTCATTCTATGAGAGAGAGAGAGAGAGAGAGAGAGAGAGAGAGAGAGAGAGAGAGAGAACTTTTTTCATGACACATAGGGTAGAATTTGACCGTGTCTCAACTCCAAACTTGCAAAGAAGAATTTATTCCGGAGTATTTGAGATGTCACCACTTATTTTAAGATTTCTTTTTCTTTTGAGGGGTTAGTGGGGAAAATAATCAAAACATTTCTTTAATTAGAAGAAGCCTACAATAAAGAAGGGGGGGATCAAGATTTAATTGCTGTATTTTTTTGTTTAGCAAAATGTGTACCCAATTAAATGCAGTTGAGCAGTTCTGGGAAGAAATTAATAAACAGGGGGTGGGGGAGAAGATGAGGAAGCAGAGGGAAGAGACTGTTCCCAAGCTGAGATTTTGTTTGCCAAGTTTCAACAAAGAGCAAAGCTTAGCTCCGAAGGAGAAGCCCTTGAGAGATGGGGTTTAGAATAGTAGTGCAAACAGAAACCCCAAATGAGGCAAGTTGGGGAGACATTTCTCTAATGCAGTTCATCCTCAACAGGTGCTGGCAACATCTGTAATAAGACTATCCATGATAAAAAGCTTCTCATACCTTAATCCACACTATATTACATTCACAAACACATTGCCATCCTCTTCCATCCTCCTCCCCCTGAGATGCAGGAATAAATAATGTACTATTAAAATCACATCTCTGCTTTCTGCCTAAGAACATTAAAAGTGAGAAGAAGAAAAATAGATTCCACCATCCCATTATCCTCAGGGGAATGCAACTGGTAAACATGAAGATATATTCAGGATGATCCAATAGAAGAAACCCTCATATAGCCAGCCACACCAGTCTATTAAAAAACCTAAAGATTATACATTGAGTGGATCCTATGATAGATACAAATAAATGAGGAATCTTAATTTAATTCAAATATTACTACTGTAATACAAATGCCCATGTTTGGAAAATGGAATCAATTTCTTTCTGAGAGCCACACAACATCAGAGCCTTCATTCATTCATTTATCCATTCATTCATTCATTTGTCCTACAACAAATATGTATTAACCATTTACTGTGTGCAAGACACAGAAGTACAGGAATTCAAAATCTAGAAAAAGTCGAGGAAGCCCTGTGTATCACTTAAGTTTTATGGTCTGTGAAAAAAAAGGTGGCTAGTAAAAGAGATATTTTTCTACCTTCCCACCTTAATTTACCTTCCTTTACTATGGGCTTATTGTAAAATTCAGTTAACCAGTTTACAATGTATCTGAAGGTAGAGCTTTATAGCCTGGCACATAGGTGCTTTTCATAAAAATAGTTTGAGATGATTAAATTTCACAGTGTTGTTCCTTTTGGTCTAAAGAAGATATGCATGCTTTGGCTTCCTTACCTATACGTTGCCTTTGATCCGTTCATTCATGCATTCATCAAATGTATATTCCTCATCTACAGAGCAGCAGAATATTCTTGGTGCTGGCAATACAAGCATGAATAAGATTGAGTCTTTCCTTTAAAGGAGCTTATCATAAGTGGGATGCAAGAAGATAGACACATCTCTGCAAAAATCTTATAGGTTCTGGGATAGCACAGTGAGACCTAAGAGACAAAAGACAGTGGCAAGGTCAAGAAAGTTTCCAGAAATGCTTCATCAAGTTCATGGCTTCTGCCTGAATTTGAATAAGTAGACATGGGGGATGAATAAGGAGAAAGTCATTTTATTTATTTATTTATTTTTTTAATTTTTTTTTTCAACATTTATTTATTTTTGGGACAGAGAGAGACAGAGCATGAACGGGGGAGGGGCAGAGAGAGAGGGAGACACAGAATCGGAAACAGGCTCCAGGCTCTGAGCTGTCAGCCCAGAGCCCGACGCGGGGCTCAAACTCACCGACCGCGAGATCGTGACCTGGCTGAAGTCGGACGCTTAACCGACTGCGCCACCCAGGCGCCCCAGGAGAAAGTCATTTTAGGTGAAGGGAACAGCCTGGCATGCTTGTGGAAAGGTAAACATCTGTTCAGCCAAGTAAATGGGTCCAGATTGGGTGGTGGAAGACTGGAAAAGTGGGGGACAAGAAAACCCATTGGGTGATAATATTGGGAGGTGGGCGTATGTGGAAGGAGGTAATCCTTGTTCAGTGGTAGTTCCTTTCTGTTGCAATATCTAGAGATTCCTTTACTCATGACATAAATCAAGTCTATCTTCTTAAAGATTTTTTAAAAATGAATATAGATTTATAAAGAAATATGGAGGATGTGAGAGAGAAGATTATTCTGAGATTATTAAAGTGGTTCTACAGTTTACTGATTGGAACACTTTGAGAAATTGCTGAAATAAAAAAACTATAGTTTCAAAACAATTGACCTAACAATTTTGTTTAGCAAAATAGAGGTGTTTGTTTTTTTGTTTTTGTTTTTGTTTTTTTTTTTAACCAAACCAACATGAAGTTTTTAAAAATTAGGGGTTGATTGCCCCATAAGAGGTCATATAGAAAATATTTATTGAATATCGAGATATAGGAGGTCAGTAAATGTACACAAAAGAATAAACAGAATTATATAAATCTCATAGATCTCTGTGAGAATGTACATACTATGTATATATACATATTCATTAATCTATTTTTTTACTCACTGGTCTCATTTTAAGACTAATAATGCTACCCAAACTGACAAAACAGGCAAGCTTTATAACTCAGTCCCAATTTACAGAAAAAAAAGCAACAACAAAGTCAGATCAAATGTGAGTCAAGCAAAGCTCTGTTTACATATTATGCACAGAAAGAATCCTGGAAATCCCTATACCCAGAATACAGACACACACATTTAGTGATACAACTACATATTAGCATCATTCTGGGTGTTTTTCTATCCAAATGCACTTGAAACATTTAGTCTGAGTCTATGCCACAATCATGCATTTCATTGGAGTGCCATGGATGGTAACTCAGATTTGAACTGCCATTTTGTTTCACTATGGCTCCCTATATGAGTCTCTGCTAGGGAAGAGTCAGAAAAAGTGTTTCAGACCAACGTCTCCAGACCATGAGGTATGTACTTTTTTGCATTTACATCTTTTAAATGTCCCCTTTGCCATTTTCAAATATGCAATTTCTGTGTTACCAGCTACACTGTGAACTCTGAGCATGGTATCTGGATTAGGTCTCAGAATGTACCAGGCCTATGACAGTCACTAAATGACCAGCTGACTTTTGATCAGGTCTGAAGGCTAAAACTTTATGCTTGGTGAATTGAAGACAAAGGATAACCTGATAGCATTTCAGCTGAACTGAAATTGTTATGTATCGCAGACTTCCAAAAGTACTAAACAACTTCATCTAGAAGATCAATTTGCTGAGGTGACCTGAGAGAATGTTTTGTAGTTAATTCAGTTGATCAGGCCTACTGGTGGGCAGTGCTGATCAAAATCAGATACACCACAGGATGGAAACTCTTTATTGGAAAGGTGGAAAACTAGAGATACCTGTCTCAAAACTTCCCAAGCGATAATGGAATTTGCTTAGTACTGGCAACATCTCTGGAATCATTTGTACTACAGTCACCTGGGTGTTGATTTAAAAAAAAAAAAAAAAAGACAAAATTCTAAGTTCAAGCATATACTGCCCCCAATAGACTCTCTGGAAGTGGGGCCCTAGAATCTGGATTTATGGGAAATTTTCCAGGAGGTTTATTCATTCACTATAGTTTGAGATGTCCAAAGAATGTTGTTCTAGACAAGGACAGACCCATTCTCTATAGAAAATGGTGTGCCATGGGGGGGGGGGGGGCCGGGGTGGCTCAGTCAGTTGAGCATCCAACTTCGGCTTAGGTCATGATCTCACAGTTCATGAGTTCGAGCTCCACGTTGGGCTCTGTGCTGACAGCTCAGAGCCTGGAGTCTGCTTCAGATTCTGTGTCTCCCACTCTGTCTGCACCTCCCCAGCTTGCTCTCTTTCTCTCTCTCTCTCTCTTTCTCAAAAATAAATAAACATTAAAAAAATTAAAAACGGTGTTCCTGTCTGTGGGAGCCCCTGTAGTTCACCTCACTGGAAATTTGGGTGCCTGACTGTACTTCCCATGTCATGGCATGCAGAAACCTGTCAACCACTCTGCCCTCTCAGGTGTCTTCCATCACATCAGCAACAGTTTTCAGAGAAGACTTCAGTTCTCCCAGA